ATTTATTTTTTTGATGCTAAAATTATTGAAAGAATTTCTTCAAATATCAAAGGAAGATCATTAAAAATTCTATTTTAAAAAAAACTCTTATTTTCAATTAAATTTGCAAGGGAATTGATGGTAAAATGAAATAAATAAATATATCATTTGATTGAAACAAAACATTATACATATTATACATTATGAAAATATCAATTATTTCTATAACGAAACGTGGAACGATATTGAATCAAAAAATCTTTCTCTATTGATTCTAAAGTGAATAAATATTGCAAAACTTGCCGGAAACACTGCATCGTTATTTATAAATATACTTAAATATGAAACAGTGTTCACCAAGTCATCAGTCAAAAATTCCAATTACTTGCCTGCGCGCTTATTAAAATTTTAATGAAAAGGTCGGAACGCTTGTTAACGTACACAGTTTTGTAATCAAAACACTCGAAATAAAATAAGGATAATTAAATGAACGATAATTATTTTGAACATTTTTAAAAACTTCTGACTTTATTTTTAAACAAATAATTTTATTTTTATAATATGATACAATTAAAAAATACTTATTAATTAAATCTTTTATTTCTTTGTTTATTTTTTACAGTATATGCGTGACAGTGGTTGTACTTAATGTCCATTTCCGATCACCACAAACTCACAAAATGGCTCCTTGGGTGAAGAGAGTTTTCATCCATATCCTTCCTCGCTTGTTAGTCATGCGAAGGCCTCAATATAAATTCGAAACAAATAGGTGAATATTTATAATTGTCTATTTTAACAGTTGAAATAAAAAAAAAATAAATCATTATCATAAACATTGGATTAATTATAGTTAATAAATGTTAATATGTTATAGCAATATCTTAAAAGATCTTAAATAGAAATTATATATTTGCTTTGATATATTATAATCGTACTTTAAAAATTATATTTTTTTACTTTTTTTTAATTCATTATAATAATATTTTAAAAATAGAATTCTGTTTATTTGAACATATTGGAAAATAATTAGTTTATGCAACCAAATTATTCATATAATAAAAATATACTCATTCTTAAAAATTTTTTTTTTAAAATCACGTGTCAAACATTATATATTTGGAAGTAACTTTGCAAAATAATAAAATATCTCAAATCATTAAATTAAATCGAAAAAAAAATAGACTTGAATATTAGAAAAATTATAAAAATCCTTCAATTTTTGTAAAAGTTATTCTGAGTTCTATTATTCTATAAATATCTAGGATAAAAAGAAATTTTTATATCAAGAAAAAAAAAGAATTAAATTTGGTCAATTTATGTTCACAGATATAGTTCTGGCAGAGTATTAATGAGAACAGTCAGAGGAAAGGAAAAAACTTGTTATTATCCTTATCATCCATCTACTCAAGAGGATAGCGAAGAACATCTAACGCCAAAACGATTTCATAGTCGTGCCGCATCAAAAGAAGATCTTTCACCTTCCAGGTATCAATCGTATTCTCATTATTACAATTTTTATTCTTTATTATTATATTTTCAAATATATATGAATATTTGAAAATAATGAATCATTTAAATAGATCTATTAAAAAAAATCTATTAAAATATTTTCTAAACTATTTATTATTAATGTCATTAAAAATGTTTCAAATTTGTATGGTTTAAAATAATTTGTTACATAATACATGATTGTAGAAAATACTTGAAAGAGTTGATATTAAAAGTTGTATGAGACAAATTATTAGGAAATAATCAGAAGTAATTTAGTATTCATATTGAAGAACGTACTTTTGAAAATATTGAAGGATCGTTTATTGCCATTATAATAAGTACAATGTAATACAGTAGAACTTTATTTATATGAATCAATTAGAAGATAAGTAGTTCATGTAAATAGGTCAGAAAATATTTCATATGTCAGAAAATTATTAATTTCATCTGCTATTTATGATTTTTCGTTCAAATAAGTAAACTTTAAATTCATTTAGCTCATTTTTCAATTTTGTAGCTCATCAATTGTATTATGTCTTTATTTCCTTTCAAATATTCATATAATCGAAGAAACTATTCAGATAAGAATTTGATTAAAGTTCATTTAATCAGATATTGATGTAAGTTTTGTTCCAATAAATGGAGTTCTATTTTATTTTATTATATTCATTTGTCTTTTAATGAATAATTTCTCGATGTAATTAGCTGGATATTTTTTTATAGGAAATAGTAGTTGATAGTATAGAATAATAGTTGATGCATTTAAAAAAAATACGATAATATTGAAAAATAAATTGATCTTCAAACATTGTGCATTTGTCTACAAAAAATTTCATTATATCAAATTATTTTTCTCTTGAAATCATACAATTATTTTTTTTTTGAAATCATATAATTTTTATAGAAAATAAAAAAATTAAAAAATTAATTTTCAAATACTCTCTGTAGATTTATTAACAAAAAATTTCATTATACTAAAATATTTTCTTTTGAAGTCATACAATTTTTTTGAAACATTATTTCATATAACAAATAGTTTTAACGATATGAAAAAAATGATTTAAATGTATAATAATATGTAATTTTTTCGTATAAAATTATACAATATTTCAAATATTACATCTTTGTATTTGTTGGTTTAAAAAAAAGATATTTTAAAATTTATATTTTTGAAAATACTAAATACAATTACTAATTATTATTAATTATTGAATTATTATGATTTTGCTATATTAATAAATCATTATATAAAAATATAATATAAAAATAGAATATAAATATTATATTCAGTATTATATTCAATAAAAATACATTTAAAATTTTTTAAATTACATTCTATCAATACCGAGCAGGGATATTTTTCTATATTATATTCAATATTATATTATA